TTGCTCCAACCCTTCGATATTTGTGACAAAAAGGGAGAAATTTTTATTGTAAGGGGGAGCTATATCATTTGTTATATCAATTGCTATATCATTTGCATTTATTGTTTGACCAGCTTCATATGTCTTTAGGGGTCAATGGGGTGAGACATAGATACAGTTGCCTACTGCATAAAAAATTGAGAGTTTGCAGTAAGTGAAAGCATGTGCATTGCATATCTTATGCATAGCTGTTTGAGTTTTAATATTTTGTGATGTTAATGTTTCGGTTGGTGTTTTGATTGAAATTAATGTCACGTCTCAAACTAGCATGCTTATTTGTGTTAATGAGTTTTTGATTTCCCGTATCACGTGCTTTTACACTGGTATTGAGTTTTTGATTTCAGGAAACAGATACACCAAGAAATACGAGAAGTAGAAGACTTTGAGTAACTTGGGTAGTGTAGTTTGATATTTTTTTGACTTATTATGTAGTTTTGTCACAGAATGTCAAAGGAGGAGTTTGTTAGGTTTTTAGTGTTGGCAATTCTGTGCACAAATGACTAAATTGTAATGTGCTGTAAAAGTCAAGGACCTAGGGTAAAATTTGTATAAATTAGGTAAGTTAGGGTTTGAGTCCTTGAAGGAGTCCAAGATGTCCAAGAAGATCGCATATGATAAAGGGAATGCAATTAGAAGTCTAAAGAGTATCAAATAGCCGCACAAGTTATGTTCTAAATTCTCAGTCGTCACTTTCAATGCATTTTTCACATAGATAAAATTAGAATTTGGATAAGACTAGTTCTAGAAGAATTGTAGCCCTTCGCGTTAGAGTTCCAAAGAAATTTGAATCATCACAATCGGATATCAGTAGAGAAAGTTATGATAAAAATATTGACGACTGCTCAACTGTCGTGGGATCTCGCTCGAGCGACCAAAGCTCTCGCTCTAGCGACCAATGCAGTAACTTTTCGCCCGAGTTTCGTCAACAGCTCACTCGAGTGACCTACCTGTGTGGTCAACCCTAATTTGTGATTTTGGAGAGTTTTACACAGCCCATACTACTTAAACACCTTCAACTATAAATACAAAGGCTTTTGAAGACTTTCGTAAGGTTGCTACATTGTGCCTCTCTTGCATATCATATTCTCTACATCTTTGAGAGATCCAAGAAGCTATTCTTTGATTGATTCATCCATATTCATTCTTGACATCCAGCAACCCGATTTTGAAAAACATCAAAGGTTCCATAATCCAAAACACCGACATCCTTAATCTTTTAAGGAACTAACTTTTTTTTATTGAAATTTGGAAGATGTGGACTGCAAGTACATGAAAAGCACAAGAATTAGAGATTCTTGAAATTCCACTTGGAAGAGACAATAGAAGATCAGAAAACTGGAAGGAGACAACATATCAGGAGGCTACAGGAGGTAGAACGGGAAGTCTAACAGGTTAGCTAAATAGTGTCTACGGTAATGGATCGNCATCTTGGAGATTATAGGAATTACAACAGCGGGAACTAGTGGAATTTGTTAGGCTGGATACAGACTGTAATCCATATTGTCTATAGTGGAGGTAACTGGCTTGGTCCCGGACTTTTTCCTAGTTGGGTTTTTCCGTCATCGTATTAGTGTTCTTTATTTATTGCTTTTATATTTATTGTTTATTATACAAATTGAAGTATTAAAAAATAGGATAATTTGAATTATTTGACTAATCACATAGACATAATTAATTGTGACTTGTTGCTTGTTAATTAAAATTTTAATTCCGCATTTACACCTAATTACCCTCATCTAGGTGTAGTAGGGTCGAATCTTGCATTTCTCAAATCCGAAACGTGTCATGCGTCGATGGTGAATGCCAACTTGATACTAAACCCACCACTAAGGCTAGTTTGACCTTCTACCAAATATATGCTAGATAATGAAAAGTCATTTTGTGTTAGAATGTGGATATGGCATTAAATGATATGTGAAATTAAATAACTCATTTAATTTCACCTTTCATTTAGAGTCACCTAAACTGTGTTTGTAACCCTATTGGGGATGAATAACATTACTCAAAATAATTTTAGTATGCTCAAATCTATTGAAAAAAATAATCTAAAACTGCCACTTAGCTGTGGGGCTCCGCCAAGCTGTCAAATTCAGTTGCTACCTGAAAAAATATCTTGAAAAAATATAGTAGTTGATACTAAATAAGTGGTGAATTTCGAAAATAATAATATTTTCTCGTGGAGAATATTGAAAATAATTATATTTCCTCATTTATATATATTTATCGAAAATTTAGTTTACATCACTTAACAGTTTACAGTATAACATCATATAATATAATAATCAAGGTCTGAGACATTCTCGTAATATTGAAAAATATCATCTCATAATCATGATATAATTATCAAGGTAAATTTGAAATACTTTTATTTGAAAACTTCCATTTACATTGAGCTCTTAATTCACCAACTATGCACCGAATAGAGTTATGCGCAATATCAATATCAATAATCGAATGATCAATATAATATCGACACAGTTGAGTGGACCATCCTTTTGTGACCACTAGAGGTACATTCCCTGCCTACCATTATGATCACCCAAGAAATATCTCACCCGAGACGCCAATAGTCACAGTATCACAAAGGCAAAGTCAAGCGATCATTCATCTCGTGATCACCAAAGGTACATTTCCTATCTTCCTTTATGATTACTTGGGAAGTCTCACTTGTAGGAAACAAATATTAAATGAGTACGCCTCACATATCTCGATGCCCTAAAAGTAGTCAATAAAACAGTTTATACACATTGAAGGATCTAGGGGGGACTGGGATGTGCTACAGGCAGTCCCCCAACCCAAATCACCCTGGAATTGAAATACGTATTGCCAACGCTAAAAGAACACGTGAAAAGAGAAATGGAAATAGAAGGAAAGAAGTGGTGAATTTTTATCAAACAATAAATTAGAGACAGAGAGATTATTGGTTTTGATATTTTATCGAGAAATCGAGTTATTGACTTTCTTATTTGGAATATAATCTCGTTTTTAGAAAATAAGCACTATTATATTAGTTTTAAAGCTTATATTAAATGTTTATTTATTATAATGCTTACACAAAATTATGTAGATTACAAAGGTTACTTATTTCAGATGATTAAGTTAGACAACATAATTTTTAGAATAAATGGACTTTCATAAAAATGCAATTTTTTTTTAAGTACGCTATTCATGAGTATTTGCACGTGCATACATGACATATGTTCATAGTTGAAAATCTAATATGCAGGAATTGCACTTTGAAATGCATTAAATTGATCACTTGTTGGATGAATATATTAATTTCGAGAATTAAATGACAAACCTAGTTATTTTTATTATAATCAAGAAATCAATCAAGAAGTTATAGTTATAATATTTTTACAAGAAGAAGGCAAATTCTTGGTACAAGATCTTCATATATTTTTTTCCCTCCATGATGTGTAATTGAGTAAATAGCTAGGATGAACGATTGTCACCTAATTTTGAACTTTAATTTTAATTAAAGACTTATCTCCAATCGATGATGTGAATTATTTTTATTTCTATTCTTAATGTTTTGATTTAATTGGCCACTAATTCATTGATTTATGAGCGATAATTACATCGAAAGACGAATTATTTGTTTATATCATGTAGTAAAAATATGTAATGTGGATCAAATAGTAAGATACACTTTTATGGTTGTCGCAATCGTTACATGAATTCTTTGGTAATTGAATGCTCTTTATTAAGATTTATTCGAATTCACGTAGATATGTGGTGGGTTGACTTAATTGGGTAGGATTAGTTTGAACGGAGAGAAGTAAATTAATTAGTTTAGAAGAATTTGACCAGATACACGTAATCAAATGTTATAAAATTTGGTGGTTGGAATTAATGGAATCGCTACAATGAAATTGTGAATCATTTTTGCAGATTTATAATATTTAGAATAAAAATAAATACTACTTTTCGCCGTGCTCAAACGAATTGAAGTTATGAATAGTTTAACCAGTGGTTTGACAGTAGTTATCGTAAGAATGATAATTCGTAATCTTAGATTCATTTTATTATTTATTATGATTCGTACATTTGCCGAATATAAATCATTTTAAGGAGGTTGTCTTTATTTCATTCAGGTTGGGGGAGATTTCAATTGAATATTTGAGTCATAAATCAAACTAGTAGTGGAGCTATAGTTTTCTTGTCCTTTGTTGGACTACTAAGGGTAGTCGACAATCATTCACTTGATAGGTGACACTGTCATTCGATCGTGTTCAGGACATAGAGTAGCTTCTCAACTAACAAGACTGATCTATTGATTGAGGAAGATGATTTTAGTTTGCCAAAGAGGCAAGGAAAAATAGAAAGGGATGAGAGGTTGAAAGTGACAATTCAAGGTGTAAATGTAACCTACATGCGACACAAGCACCAACTCACTCTCCCAAAAATTGATAGCCATGCTTATAATTTTAATTTAAATTTAAATCTTAGAAGTGTTATCTGCAAGTTTTAAAATATAATAATGGTAAATATATCTAATTATTTTACTTTTATCGGTTATCACATCCATCTCCAAGACTCCGACTCTCTCACTTTATAAAGTCTTGCATCGTTTATTTATGTACTGTTTTCCATACTTGATTATCTATTATATTCATCTATTAAAGGAACAATTAGTTTTTAAAAGAATCCAAGAAATTTTGCTAAAACAGTCCAATGATGAAATATCATATGATATTATGTTAAGGATTACGTCAATGATTATGACACTGTAGCATGATTGTTTGCTAAGGATTTTGCCACTTTATTAGAAGAAATGTAATAGATGTAGTGACATAATTCGATGTGGCAACAAATGATTTGATAAAAAAATTGACTATATTTAAAATAGTCCAATAACAAAATCCATTTAAAGATTATGTCTATGATTATGACACCACGATTGGCTAAGTACTGGACTACCTAGTTTGTCATTTAGAGGAAACAAAGACATCTATCTCATGGTTCGAAGGACACTACCAACCGCCAATCGAATTCACCCGCCAAAACCCTTCAACGGTAATCCGAAATCTGTTCCCCAGTCCCTAAGAATTCAACAGTGCCTCTCACGGCTCAACTCTTTTTCTAGTGCAAAGCATATTTTCCAAATTCACGCCCAGATTTTAATCTCTGCATTTCATTACGACTGTCGTGTTGCAAATAAAATAATCCAATTCTGCTGTGCAAATCCCATCGGAGATAGAATTAATTTAGTAAATCATGCCCGTCTCATTATTAGTCAGACCAAAAACTTGGAAGTCTCGTCATGGAATCGTCTGATAAGGGCATATGCTACTTCGAAATGTGGTCTAGAAAGAGAGACATTACGGGTTTTTGTTGGGATGCGGCGTGAGGGAGTTAAACCCAATGAACACACCTTTCCCTTTGTGTTCAAGGCATGCGCTTCGTTTTTGGGTTTCAGTGAAGGGCAGCAAATTCATGGGGAAGTAGTGAAGTATGGTTTGTATTCTAATGTGTATGTTCAGAATACTTTGATTCATATGTATGGCTCTTGTAAGAAGGTTGTTTATGCGTACAAGGTGTTCGATAAAATGTCATTTAGAACAGTCGTTTCTTGGAATTCGATTATTTCAGCTTATGTAGAGAGCTCAAAGTTTTTTGATTCAATTGAGGTTTTTGTGAAGATGATGGATTGTGAATTTGAACCAGATGAAACTACGATGGTGATTGTTCTTTCCATTTGCGCAGAGCTTGGTAACTTGAGTCTGGGGAAATGGGTCCATTCTCAAGTTATTGAGAGAGGTATGGTTGTGAATTGTCAGTTGGGCACTGCCCTTGTTGACATGTATGGAAAGTGTGGAGCTTTGGATTATGCTAGATTAATTTTCGGTCAGATGGACCATCGAAATGTTTGGACTTGGAGTGCTATGATTCTTGGGTATGCACAGCATGGTTTTGCTAAAGACGCCCTTGAGCTGTTCACAGAAATGAAACATAATTCAGTCGAGCCTAATTATGTGACGTTTCTTGGGGTTCTTTGTGCTTGTAGCCATTCTGGACTGGTGGAGGACGGAGAGCGATTTTTTTATGAAATGGAGCATGTGTATGAGATCAAGCCCACATTGGTTCATTTTGGTGCGATGGTTGATATCTTAGGTCGTGCTGGTCATCTTAAAGAAGCATATACTTTTCTTGTAAACCTGCCCATCGAGGCTGATGCCATAACGTGGAGGACATTGCTCAGTGCCTGCAACATTCATGACATTAATGACTTAAGTGGGGTTGGGGAGAAGGTGAGACAAAAACTACTTGAATTGGAGCCTAGAAGAAGCGGTAACTTTGTGATGGTTGCAAACAAGTATGCTGAAGCGGGTTTGTGGGAAAAAGCAGCACATTTGAGGAACATTATGAGAGATAAAGGGTTGAAAAAGATGGCCGGAGAGAGCTGTCTAGAGGTAGGAGGATCTATCTTTAGATTCTTCTCTGGAGATGATTTCAAACTTGCTTATAAGGATATGTTCTTTTTGCTAGATAGACTGAACTTGCATATTAAGATGATAAATGATGAGTAATTATTTGATTCTGGAGTGGTTTTTGAAAGGATAGTATTAGTATTTATAATTTTAAACCAAATATATTTAAATCGAGAGTATAACTACTCTATATTTAAAAACAGTTTGAGTCTTTCGTTTAATTGAGGAACCTGCAACTAAACAAGAAGATAAAAAGAGGAGATGATGAATATTAGAAGTTCTGCTATTGCAAGGCTAGAAAATGTCGGAACATGTTTAAAGAGATAGAAGATTAGAAAAATCTCTTTCTACTAGGAAGCCAAAAGATATTTTTTGCAAAAATAAAACTTAAGTAATAAACTGTTGGAATGAAAGAACATTTGAGTATTTGAATCATTCTTGGGTGTGGCCAATGGGTTTGTGTCAACAGTGTCCCTTTTGTTCTGGTCTTCAGTTGGATTATTACTTCTTTCTTCTCACATGAAAATAGAAGCACTGTGCATCGTTTTCCACTTAAATAAAGTGGCAAAGGTGGTTGTAGATTAGGATGATTGTAAGATCGGCTGCTAGCAGAGACACTCAGGAATCACTAGATCCATTATAAAGGTAGGAGCTCTTGAAAGTCCCCACGTTTTTATTGGAGTTTGATGGAACATCCTCTTGAGGCAGTGTCACTTTTCTCGTCTATAAGATTTATCTCATGCTTCCTCGAACTCAATGAATGAAAGGAAGATTTTATGGACCAGTAGACCTCAAATGGCTGTACTGAATTGTGAACAATGATATTGGTTTTCCAGATGAACACTACCAAAAACCGGTTAATTAAAACACATTGTCCACTTGCTACCTCAGAGCAAGAATGAGTTTATTCGATATTTCTAAGGCAGAAAAGCCTTAAATATATTGAGTCAAGGTTTTGAACCCCACTGCAGGAGGGACAGCTCTCCAGTCAGGGTTTTAGAGACGAGGCCTTTTGGCAAAGCGAAGCCTACTTTAAGCCACCCGCCAAAGCCTGATGAGAAGGCAATCCAGACAAGTTAGTGATAGAAAAACATAATAGAATTATCGATCAAAATAATAATCAA